TTAATTTAAATCGTATAGTATAGTTTATTGACTTTCTAAAAGTTCTGCAGAAATGACTCAATATACAGTAAAGCAATAAACTTTCCACTAGCAAATTCAAATGAAATAATTTTTTATTCAACAATTCTCAAGAAGCGAATACAATTTTGTTTCCAAGGAAGTGACAAATATTGAACTTTTAATACATTTCATAGTCAAGGATTTATGTTAATTGCGTTTAGTCAGATGTCATTAACACTGAAAACTTGATAAACTGCACGTACTACACCATACTTCGTTTATGAACTGAATGAAATTCTCTAGAAGGTTTATAAACTTTAAAGGAAGATATTCTCTTCCCATTGATTAGCATTAACAAATCCATATATTTACATTACTTAAACGTTCAATTGAAAGAATAAATACTTGTTATTAAATCAGAGATTTACAATAGGTTTTGATCATTATCAAGTATCGATTATGGACTGATACTCTCGAAATTATATAGAGATATTTAGGTTCATACTGTGGAATCCGGCAGGTTAGTGTTTTAGTCTGGTTCTATGAGTTTTATATGTATATACATATATAAGTTTATCATTCCGTTTGTAAAATTAGGAAATATTGCTCTGATTTGATACAAAAGAGGTTAGTTACTGACTGACTGATCATCACACATCATGCTATTTTGACAGTTGATGCATTTTTGGTCATGAAAATCCAATAAGGAGGGATTATTGGAAATTTTAATTTTAAGGGGATAAAAAGTGCAATAACGGGTAAATCGGTAACCTCATATCTTCTAAACGGACAGTTGTTAGGCACCTTTCATTGGAAAATTACGGATATAGGTACCAGGCATGGAAAATTGAAACTTTGAAATAGCAATAAATTATAAAAAAATATTACTTCTTTAGGTTTTAAAGTTCTAAAATAAATATCCGCTAGACTATAGACAGACTATATATAGACTAGACTATAGACTAAACTATAAACCAAACTAACCTAATCTCTAGTCTAGGCTAAAGACTGGACTAGAATATAGACTAGACTATAGACTAGGAACTGATAGACTAGACTATAGACTAGACTATAGACTAGACTATAGACTAGACTATAGACTAGACATAGACTAGACTATAGACTAGACTATAGACTAGACTATAGACTAGACTATAGACTAGACTTGACTAACTTAGACTAGGACTAGATATAGACTAGACTATAGACTAGACTATTAGACTAGACTAATAGACTAACTATAGACCTTAGACACACTATAGCTATACTAGACTATAGACTAGACACTCCTAGACTATGACTCTAGATAAGACTATAGACTAGACTATAGACTAAACTAGACTATAGACTATAGACTAGACTATAGACTAACTATAGACATAGACTAGACTATAGACTAAAGACTATAGACTGACTATAGACTAGACTATAGACTAGACTAAAGACTAGACTAGACTATAGACTATAGACTATAGACTAGACTATAGACTATAGACTAGACTATAGACTAGACTATAGACTAGACTATAGACTAGACTATAGACTAGACTATAGACTAGACTATAGACTAGACTATAGACTAGACTATAGACTAGACTATAGACTAGACTATAGACTAGACTATAGACTAGACTATAGACTAGACTATAGACTAGACTATAGACTAGATATAGACTAGACTATAGACTAGACTATAGACTAGACTATAGACTAGACTATAGACTAGACTATAGACTAGACTATAGACTAGACTATAGACTAGACTATAGACTAGACTATAGACTAGACTATAGACTAGACTATAGACTAGACTATAGACTAGACTATAGACTAGACTATAGACTAGACTATAGACTAGACTATAGACTAGACTATAGACTAGACTATAGACTAGACTATAGACTAGACTATAGACTAGACTATAGACTAGACTATAGACTAGACTATAGACTAGACTATAGACTAGACTATAGACTAGACTATAGACTAGACTATAGACTAGACTATAGACTAGACTATAGACTAGACTATAGACTAGACTATAGACTAGACTATAGACTAGACTATAGACTAGACTATAGACTAGACTATAGACTAGACTATAGACTAGACTATAGACTAGACTATAGACTAGACTATAGACTAGACTATAGACTAGACTATAGACTAGACTATAGACTAGACTATAGACTAGACTATAGACTAGACTATAGACTAGATATAGACTAGACTATAGACTAGACTATAGACTAGACTATAGACTAGACTATAGACTAGACTATAGACTAGACTATAGACTAGACTATAGACTAGAATAGACTAGACTATAGACTAGACTATAGACTAGACTATAGACTAGACTATAGACTAGACTATAGACTAGACTATAGACTAGACTATAGACTAGACTATAGACTAGACTATAGACTAGACTATAGACTAGACTATAGACTAGACTATAGACTAGACTATAGACTAGACTATAGACTAGACTATAGACTAGACTATAGACTAGACTATAGACTAGACTATAGACTAGACTATAGACTAGACTATAGACTAGACTATAGACTAGACTATAGACTAGACTATAGACTAGACTATAGACTAGACTATAGACTAGACTATAGACTAGACTATACTAGACTATAGACTAGACTATAGACTAGACTATAGACTAGACTATAGACTAGACTATAGACGACTATAGACTAGACTATAGACTAGACTATAGACTAGACTATAGACTAGACTATAGACTAGACTATAGACTAGACTATAGACTAGACTATAGACTAGACTATAGACTAGACTATAGACTAGACTATAGACTAGACTATAGACTAGACTATAGACTAGACTATAGACTAGACTATAGACTAGACTATAGACTAGACTATAGACTAGACTATAGACTAGACTATAGACTAGATATAGACTAGACTATAGACTAGACTATAGACTAGACTATAGACTAGACTATGGACTAGACTATAGACTAGACTATAGACTAGACTATAGACTAGACTATGGACTAGACTATAGACTAGACTATAGACTAGACTATAGACTAGACTATAGACTAGACTATAGACTAGACTATAGACTAGACTACAGACTAGACTATAGACTAGACTATAGACTACACTATAGTCTAGTCTATGTATGAGCTGACCTATTGACTAACATGTGGGCGACTTATCAAATGTTTATGTTAGAAAAAGTAAAGATATACATTATTTTCTATTTATTGGATTGTACATAAAAGATAAAAAATAATTATATTACCTTTCCACAACAATTAGTCACTTAATTTTCCTGTAAAAAAAAAGTAAACAAAAATGTAAAATTTTCTTTAAGTAATTATCCGGAACTATTCAAAAAAAACTACCGTTTACAGTACAGTTTATTTTTATCATTCTTTCTACATACATATGAAAAAAACTGTAACTGCATCTGGTGCTAAAAACCCGTACCTAATATATTCTAAGCCTATGTATAAATGCTGCAAATAAAGTAAAAGTGTTTTACCTAATAAAGAGAAAGTAATCCATATGGTCAGAGGAGTTACATTTGTTAGCTACGCAAAAAATTGGCAGCCATTGCTTAAATGTTTATATCAATACATCATCATGCATCAATGATGAAAGGTTGATACCTGGTAATTATGATGCATATTCGAAAACAAAAAAATTCTTAGTAAGTACATGCTGATAACTGCTGATAACCACCGATATACATACATATTCAAATTGATATGTCACTTAAATATCTTAAATATTCCAAAACATTTAACATACCCCTACCATTTGGAGTAGCTCCTTCGTTACAAAAACAATGTCAGATTCTTTCTCTACTTTGCATTAGAATTAAAATTGAGATTAATGTATTCCATGAGGCATTTGAAAAAGAATTCTAATAATTATTTAACTTTGCTTTTCTTCTCTTGTTTTAAACATTAAAATTTCAAATTAGAAAAGTTTTTCTTAAAGGTTATATAAGTGATTTGCATAAATGTGATTGATCTCGCTCTTTCGAAATACAAAAGCAACAGATACATAGTTCCATATGTACAATAAAAACAGTTTTAGTTTTCACCAGATACTATTCAAAACAACTGCAGACTGACCGGCAGGCAGGCAAATACATTGAACTCCATTGTAAAAAGTGAAAAATAGAAATGTTTTAAAATAATTGAAATTTTTATTTAAAATTAACATTTCTTTTTATTAAAAGTAGTGAAAAAAAGTAAGGAATGTGCATATGGCGACTATTGATTTTTATCTAGATTTTCGTTTGGTTTTGGTTGAGTATTCTTAGTTCATTTATAATACAAGACATGCTATTAATTTGCATGATCAATTAAGAACCATCTGAATGCATTGACACTTTTCTATATACAATACAGCTGTGACAGTAAAACAAAACAGACAATTGAAATGATTACGTTGCATTGATTACCTGGTATTGTCAACACATTACAATAAGATTTTGTGATGTTTTGTGGTCATTAAACCCATGACGCATTGAAAATTCTATGAATTTTTTTTTCTAAAAGTGGTGTTATACGGGGGCAGGAGGTTAATATAAGGTATCCTTATAAATTTTGGAAGAGGGATTTATGTCGGCATTAAAGTTATTTATGCAGAATTTTATCGTGATATTAGTGTTTATAAGTGAAGCCCTATTCGGTGGATACGGTTGTATGATGGCTAGGGGAAATACTAAACCGATTTTAACCATTTTCAATAGGGTTCGTTCTTGGGTCAAAAGAAGAGCATGTGCCAAATTTCATCAAATTATCCTGAAGATTGCGACCCGTAGGACATACAGACGGATGGACAGACGGACATAGCTAAATCGACTCAGAAAGTGATTCTAAGCCGATTGGTATTCTTAATGATGGGTGTTGGACCAATATTATTGGGTATTGCAAACATATACTATAGTGTTGTAGGGTATAAAAATATTAAAAACAAATTTGACTTAGTAAAGAATTTCTAAAATTTATTTAAATTTATTTAGAAAATATTTAAAAATTTCTAATCATAAAATACATGCTTTTATAGAAATACGGTTGACTTTTATATTCATGCCACTTGATACCAACATAATCCAATTCGCTGTCGAAATAGGGATTAGTAGGTGTGCTGTAATATAAGCAATTTTTATTGTTAACAACAATTTGTAATATAAGAAATTAATTTAATACTTACGTTGTTGAGCAATCTTTTCTAAACCACCAACCGCCGTCATATTGTGTGGGACATAATAGTAGGTTATTTCAAAAGCAATAATCGAATGTGTAAAATTTACCACCGACATTATATGACAACCCATCGATAGCAGTGCCATTATAATTGCCTACAGATTTTAATTCGAATCTTTCATTGGCACCTCCTACGATAAAATTATCATACAGAGCATAATACGCTTTTCCTTCAAAATCCTCCATATGGACATATAATAGCTGTCGGCCATTATTGTTAGTAAGAGCATAAAGATTTTGAAGACCAATCCAATACTCTGACTTTACATTGCCAAATCCTAGTAGATAAGAGGACCTACTTCCTCCAAAATCTAGTGAACCATCAATTCGTCTTAAAATGTGCATCCAGTTGCCACCAGCGATATTCATGTCACAAAAAACCATAACTTGTTTCTCTTCTGATAAATATATTTTATAATATCCACTTTTTAGAGTGCATTTAGTAGCCGATTTGCAATCCTTTGGTTCAGGGTCCTCTTTACAATGTTTCTTTTTAGATTCGGGCAACTTATCAATGCGAACATCGAATAATGTCTTCTTGATAAAATTTTCCTCTTCCGTTGCTGTTGTGGATTGTCTGAAATTATGGAAATATGTAAGCAACTATGTACACTACTAACTAACTAACTAACTAACTAACTAACTAACTAACTAACTAACTAACTAACTAACTAAACTAACTAACGAACTAACTAACAACTAACTAACTAACTAACTAACTAACTAACTACTAACTAACTAACTAACTAACTACACTAACTACTAACTAACTAACTAACTACTAACTAACAACTAACTAACTAACTAACTAACTAACTAACTAACTAACTAACTAACTAACTAACTAACTAACTAACTAACTAACTAACTAACTAACTAACTACCTAACTAACTAACTAACTAACTAACTAACTAACTAACTAACTAACTAACTAACTAACTAACACTAACTAACTAACTAACTAACTAACTAACTAACTAACTTAACTAACTAACTAACTAACTAACTAACTAACTAACTAACTAACTAACTAACTAACTAACTAACTAACTAACTACTAACAACTACTACTAACTAACTAACTAACTAACTAACTAACTAACTAACTACTAACTACCTAACTAACTAACTACTAACTAACTAACTAACTAACTAACTAACTAACTAACTAACTAACTAACTAACTACTAACTAACTAACTAACTAACTAACTAACTAACTAACTAACTAACTAACTAACTAACTAACTAACTAACTACTACTAACTAACTACTAACTAACTAACTAACTAACTAACTAACTACTAACTAACTAACTAACTACTACTAACTAACTACTAACTAACTAACTAACTAACTAACTAACTAACTAACTACTAACTAACTAACTAACTACTAACTAACTAACTAACTAACTAACTAACTAACTAACTAACTAACTAACTAACTAACTAACTAACTAACTAACTAACTAACTAACTAACTAACTAACTAACTAACTAACTAACTAACTAACTAACTAACTAACTAACTACTAACTAACTAACTAACTAACTACTAACTAACTAACTACTAACTAACTACTACTAACTAACTAACTAACTAACTAACTAACTAACTAACTAACTAACTAACTAACTACTAACTAACTAACTAACTAACTAACTAACTAACTACTAACTAACTAACTAACTAACTAACTAACTAACTAACTAACTAACTAACTAACTAACTAACTAACTAACTAACTAACTAACTACTAACTAACTACTAACTAACTAACTACTACTAACTAACTAACTAACTAACTAACTAACTAACTAACTAACTAACTAACTAACTAACTAACTAACTAACTAACTAACTAACTAACTAACTAACTAACTAACTACTAACTAACTAACTAACTAACTAACTAACTACTAACTAACTAACTAACTAACTAACTAACTAACTAACTAACTAACTAACTAACTAACTAACTAACTAACTAACTAACTACTAACTAACTAACTAACTAACTAACTAACTAACTAACTAACTAACTAACTAACTAACTAACTAACTAACTAACTAACTACTAACTAACTAACTAACTAACTAACTAACTAACTAACTAACTAACTAACTAACTAACTAACTAACTAACTAACTAACTACTACTAACTAACTAACTAACTAACTAACTAACTAACTAACTAACTAACTAACTAACTAACTAACTAACTAACTAAACTAACTAACTAACTAACTAACTAACTAACTAACTAACTAACTACTAACTAACTAACTAACTAACTAACTAACTAACTAACTAACTAACTAACTAACTAACTAACTAACTAACTAACTAACTAACTAACTAACTAACTAACTAACTAACTAACTAACTAACTAACTAACTAACTAACTAACTAACTAACTAACTAACTACTACTAACTAACTAACTAACTAACTAACTACTACTAACTAACTAACTACTAACTAACTAACTACTACTAACTAACAACTAACTAACTAACTAACTAACTAACTAACTAACTAACTAACTAACTAACTAACTAACTAACTAACTACTAACTACTAACTAACTAACTAACTAACTAACTAACTAACTAACTAACTAACCAACTAACTAACTAACTAACTAACTAACTAACTAAAATTACTAAACATATTTTTATATTATTCATACATACTTATCCACATCATCGTTAAGAGTGACCCCTTTACAGTTGCAATCGTCCTGTTTACTTTTAGAACTGAAATAATGAAGTATTAGCATTATCCACTTGTCAAAAAATGTTAGACCTATATTTTTGCTTACTTATTTATCAGAGTATCCAATCGAGTATTTATGCCATCTAATGATTGTTTAAAAACACTGCAAGAATTTCTGAAAAACAAAAATTCATATAAAGTGCTTATTAACATAATTATTATTTATTATTTTTGTAAAACATTAAAATGTTGGTCTTAAACCCACAAAAATATAGCACGATAAAATCCGAACGGAAAGAGCTAGAGATCTGAAATTTTGCACAAATATTGATGTAAGTTGTTTGGTGTTGAATAGCCCCATGAAATAAAGTTTAATAAGCCTTAACTGATTCAAAAAAAAAAAAAAAAAACAAGTTAGAGTGCTATATTCGGCTGAGCCGAATCTTAAATACCCTCCACCAGCTACTTTTATATTAATACTTTTCTAATTGATCAAATATTTGTAGAAATAAGTTTTCTCATGTCTTATATAGAAAAATCCCAAGATTTAAACAACTTAAATCTATTACAATTCCAAGATTTATTGAACATTACAAACGCCATTTTCTTTTATATTTTTATAGCGCTTAGCAATATTTAGTAATTTGCATGTATGCATGTGTATGAAAGGATTTTCAAAATACTAATATATAATTTTGTTCTACACAAATTGATAGTGCAACTAGTTAAATACGGTTAAAGCGCTTTTAGGGGCAGGACCTAGTATGGGAGATATGACCAATTATAGACCGATCGTAAAAAATTCTTTAACTAAAATTTCTGTACATAAAAGCTATATTTCAGTAAAATTTTGTATCTATATCGTAATTTAGTAATAAGTAATGTGTGTTTAAGAGATTTTCTGAAGGGAACCTTGTATGGGACCGAGCGCATGTTATGAACCGATCGTGAAAAAATCTTGAAATAGAATTTTTGTATACAAAACTAATATTTGTGCCAAATTTTGTATCAATAGCTTTATTTGGTATGAGTAATGTGCGTTTAAGAGATTTTTGTAAAAGGAACTTGTATGGGAGCTATGACCAATTATGTATATAAAGTTATGTGCGTTTAAGTGACTTTCGGGAGAGGACCTTGTATGTGAGCTATGACCAGTTATGGACCGATCGTAAAACCATTTTATAGTAATTTTTCTGTGCTTATTTCTCAGTAATATTTCCGTGCATATAAGCAATACTTGCACCAAATGTTATATGGATATCTTAATTTAGTAATGAGTTATGCCCGTTTAAGTGATTTTTCTGAGGGGACCTTATATGGACAATACTTATACCAAATTTTATATGGATATATTAATTTGGTAATGAGTTATGCGCGTTTAAGAGATTTCGGGAGGGGACCTTGTATGGGAGCTATGTCCAATTATGGAACGATCGTAGAAAATGTTCACAGTATTATTTCTATGCATATCAGCAATACTTATACCAAATTTTATATGGTTATCTTAATTTGGTAATGAGTTATGCGCGTTT